TATAGTAATTACTGTATCGTAACACAGCGATAAACATCTGGCCTTGTCCAGCAGGAATTCTATCGAACTGTTGAATGTTATTTTAGGTAAATTACGGCTATAATAATAGTCTTCACTTCAGAAATTTATAATATTTCCTACTTTTAATATACGATAATTTACGCGAAAAATTAAATATCGACAATTTTATAAAGTTTTGTCTATCAACAATTATGTATTTATTGTATATCTTTTAAACAAATATCTTCCTTATTAAAAAGCTACAAGAAACATGGAAACATTACTATCTATATATAAAATCACAAACAAGATATTGAATGTTCTATTTTATTTAAGTTATATTATAGACGAATTCATTACAGACAACCCTAGCGGAAATTAATTAAAGGAGTCCGAATAAAGACCAGTCAACTGTATTAACAAATACTGCTAAGGTCCTAAACCTACGTCATGCAAAATAGGTAACGTCGAGAACGACATTAACATGGTAAGAAAACCTAAGAGTTCACTGGGTAAAGTACTCTGAATAGCAAATTTCATCTTCCACGGAACATCACCCCTCCTCTTTCCCAAAATATTACTCATTTTGTATAAAAGAATCCGGACAAATTCTTTATTCCCATTCATTTGAAAAATATTAGCTCTTCGATCGTTATGGAAAACAAATAACAAAAAGAGCTTTAAAAATGACAGTGTTATTACTGAAAAATTTTTAAATATGCTTCTTCGAATATTATAGTAATTACTGTATCGTAACACAGCGATAAACATCTGGCCTTGTCCAGCAGGAATTCTATCGAACTGTTGAATGTTATTTTAGGTAAATTACGGCTATAATAATAGTCTTCACTTCAGAAATTTATAATATTTCCTACTTTTAATATACGATAATTTACGCGAAAAATTAAATATCGACAATTTTATAAAGTTTTGTCTATCAACAATTATGTATTTATTGTATATCTTTTAAACAAATATCTTCCTTATTAAAAAGCTACAAGAAACATGGAAACATTACTATCTATATATAAAATCACAAACAAGATATTGAATGTTCTATTTTATTTAAGTTATATTATAGACGAATTCATTACAGACAACCCTAGCGGAAATTAATTAAAGGAGTCCGAATAAAGACCAGTCAACTGTATTAACAAATACTGCTAAGGTCCTAAACCTACGTCATGCAAAATAGGTAACGTCGAGAACGACATTAACATGGTAAGAAAACCTAAGAGTTCACTGGGTAAAGTACTCTGAATAGCAAATTTCATCTTCCACGGAACATCACCCCTCCTCTTTCCCAAAATATTACTCATTTTGTATAAAAGAATCCGGACAAATTCTTTATTCCCATTCATTTGAAAAATATTAGCTCTTCGATCGTTGTGGAAAACAAATAACAAAAAGAGCTTTAAAAAGGACAGAAGCGGAAATTTAAACCTGAAAGTAAATATTTAGTTAAACCAAAAACTAAATGTCATTTATATTATAATTCTCTGTGAGATGCTAATTCGTATATGTATCGATATTTCGCACATTCACTATTACAAATAATTAGTCTAGACGTGATATTATATGTTGACGTGATATCTGTGTTGCGTGTTCTGAAATACCGACATCGAAAAATATCAGTGTTTTTCATGCTCCCTACGATTCATAACGTTGCGTCGCAACGGTTGTAATTATCTGACAAGGGTACTCGGTAATGAAAACAAAAAAAAAATGAAAATAAGGAGGAAACATCCGCAAGTAAAGGTTGGATTTTTAATAATAAAAAATAATCTATGCACTCAAATCCACCGAATGACAAAATCCGCAATCATTTTTTGCAAACTCGATAGCTCAAAGCCAATGTATACAAGAGTCCGGTGATTCCTTGAGTCGTGCGCCTGAACGCAATCTTATTCGATGTAATTGGGACAAGTGCACCAGGAATCGAGCAATACTGTACACATTCACAGAAATTATAGATCGATGTAAGTGTACCGAGTGTACGGAGATGCAGATGCAAGGAGGGAAAATGATTTGGGCGAAGCTTTTTCTCTACTGAGGAAATTTCAAACGGAGAAGTGTGTCGACGCGTGAGAGATCATAGCAAATACAACAGTTTCAGTAGGAAACGTCGAAATAGAGCGAAAGTAAAGAGAACAAGAATCGCCGCGATGAAGGCAGCTATGCTCCAAGAAATTCAAGATAATTCAAATGCTGGATTATGATCGCAACGTAGCCGATGTAGCAATATAGAACAAAAATGACTAATAGTAGAAGCTGTGCAATTATTTTTGCCCATTTCAATTTTTATATTATAGGAAATATGTATCATATACTAGTTGGCATTCGATTGTTCTAACACTATAATTAGGATATTTCCTAGATATAATAAGTACAAAAATATTATTGTTCCTATGTCGGAATATTTAAAATTAATTCGTTACATTTAATCAAATAACAAGGAGAATTAGAACTGTTTATGTGTTGAAATAATGTCGACTGTATGTAAACAGGAAGTGGCCCCAGAAGTACCCAGTATGGTTGTGGCACTCGTGGAAATCGAACAAATCGATACGAAATCCGTAAACCACGAGATTCAGTGTAATGATTTTTTACAGTTGTTCTTTTTTGCGATAGATAACTACCCATGATCATTCGTGCATTTTTTAAATAATTATGAGTGAACTGGATTCTACAAATTGAATTATTGAAAATCTATCGTGATTATATAATTGCGTAAAAGTACTTATTTTTGGCAACATGTCCCAGCGTAGGGCGGTAAGCATTTCATATGATTATACAATATATATTTTTGAAATAAACAGTTAGAAATTGAATATCGCAGAGTAACAAATTCTAATTGAATGAGAATATAAAAAAAGCGTTCGTTTGAGATACCTATTTTCAGCGAATTTTACTATTATTATTTTATTTCCAAATAACAGATACGAATCCATAGGAATTAAGGTTTTGATTCCTACGACTCGATTAAAAGTTTTGGCAAATAATGGAATGTATCAACATATCGTGTAGATATTTAAAAGTCACAATAATCTTAAATCTTTGACCTTGTGTCTTGATCGATCGTGATCATTTAAAATTTTGAATCTTTCTGCCTGATTTAAACTGTCACGACCCACCAAAACATAAAGTTCAAAGCTTAAAGGTGTTACGTCTTATAAATATCGAATCATATTCGAAGGTTCAAACGGTTCCTCGGTATTATCTATACATGTTAATATATTTCATTATTTAGAAAAGATATTTAAGAAACGTATAAAAGCCTTTCAAATTATCATTGATTTGGAGGACACTCATAGGAAATGATTTTAGAAGAAAGTTGTCAAAAGCACATATAACCTTTAGCAAACGTCAGTGAAAATCTCAAGTATCGTCTTCTATCTATAATGACATCAAATTATATCAAGCATATTTTAATATTGTTGATGGAAATACCAGAAATTGTATTTCTATTAAGATAGGTAAAAGAACATTTTTCAATTCTTTTGAAAAATATTAATATTTAAATACTTATTACCACTAGGTTTACGGGGCCCATCAATTTGACGGATTTCAAACTTCGAAATGAAATATCTGAAAAATGTTACCCATTTTGCATCGTAAATTAATCGTTTCATCTACAGAATTTATACACACAATTATTTTTTCCTGGGCTTTCTAATGTTTTAAATCTGTATGTAGTACACCTATCTCTAAAACCTGTCAAATTGACGGGCTAGCTGATTTCATAAACAAACCGATTTTCAAAGACTGTGCAACGGTTTCAGTTATTGTAGACATTTCCCATTATTTTATCCGCTTATTATAAGTATTTACAATAGGATAATTGAATGTGATCATAGTATTTTCTTTTTTTGATCAATCCTCCTTTTCTAGCAATTATGAGTAAATCCAAGAGATATAATAAGATATTGAACATAATTGTCAACATCAATGAAGATCGTTCTGAGGACACCTCCGAAGAAGATCAATATGAATTAGACCAAAGCGAAGCTGACAATGAAAGTTCTGAATACACTGAAAGTGGAGAGATACAAGGACCTTCGGGTAGTGAAGATGAAAACTTCTTGAAAGTGTGTCGGTACAAGAGAAAGATGCGTATTTTTTCTAGTTCTAACTTCGAGGATGAAAGAACGAGTATTCCAAGCACATCTCAAAATGTAATGGGTGAAATTGAAATTGCAATTGACAGGACACAGTGGATAAAAGTGAAAGCAGGCAGATCTAGGGGTAGGATGCCCGTTCGTATGATATTCAAGGATATCGCAGGACCTACTAGCTATGCTAAGAGAAATATTATGTCGGGTTCTATAACTAGTTCTTTCGAATTGATAATTGACAGGCACATAATGGAACACATAAAAGATTGCACTGAAACCGAGACTCATCGAGTTTTGAAAAAAGACGGACAATCACAGTTGCTGAGTTACGTAGTTTTCTAAGAATTCTATATGCCCGGGGCGCATGTGAAGCGAGATCATTGAAAGCCTCCGAAAGATTACAAACAGATAAATTTGCGCTAATATCCGAAATATAGAACAGATTTACAAGTAATAGCCAGGCTTGTTACAAGCCATATGAAAATGTCTTAATAGATGACCAATTATTTCCAACGAAAGCCCGATGCAAGTTTACGCAATATATGCCGAATAAGCCTTATAAATTTGGCATTACGTTTTGGTTTGCAGTGGACGTCCAAACAGAATATATTTCGAATGGTTTCTCTCATATAGGGAAAGATGAAACTCTATGTTCAGGGGAAAAAAAGGACAAGATGACTTTGTTTCCTTCAAATTTATATAAATCAGAAAACTGTACTCTTACTGTATATAAAAGTAAGCCTAACGTAAAAGTCCTCCTTCTAAGAACCAAACATACAGGTATACAAGTAGAAGACAATCATAAACGTGTTCCAGAAACCATTGCTTTTTATAATAAAACAAAGTTTGGTGTGGACGTCGTTGACCAGAGTTTCCAATGGCCCTTTCAAGTTTTTTTTCAATATTTTAGATTTGGCAGCGATAAACGCGTGGATATTGTGTAAAGAATGCACCGGATGGAAAATATCCAGAAAGGAGTTCATATTTTGTCAAAGATCAAACGCTCCATTTCTGCCACTTTCAACGTCCGAAGTGCGAAAAAGTTGCCAAGTGGACCACTGCAAAAAAAATAGAAGCAACATTTTGCAATTGTTGTATATATTGCAAAAAGATCGTACGCGGAAAATGCACAAACAAAATTCAGTATATTTGTAAAAAATGTGCTCAATAAATATGATTACCCTATAGCGTTAATGTTATTGTTATCATTTCCGTGATAGTATAAAAAAAGACTTTCTACTTATTAATAACTTATTTAAAAGTGAAGCCTAATATTGTTCAATTCAGACTTAATTTGAATAAATCGATTTTTTAAAGAAAATACATATTTTCGTTTACCCGTCAATTTGGCGGATCCTTGTAGAAATAGGTATATAAGAAACGCCCGTAAACCTAGTGTTAAAAAGAAATAACCGTAGCGGCACGCGACAGTAAACATTCCAACAGTTTCTGTCCCGTGGCTCGCCACACACAGACCCTATTCTTCGGGCAAGATGATTACCGGATGTCGATGCATCTCCACAGTACATGTTCAGCTAGCCGCAGGATCCGCTATAAATCTTAGGATTTAGTTAACTAAGGTCCTTCAAACGGACAAACAGTCTTTATCTTAACAGTCCCTAAATCTATCACCTACTACGGGAATATACGGGAAATCTGCTTTTCTCACGAACAACGCTTCCCGCTAGCAACTTTCTCTCAAGGGCAGTTAGCATCCTTCTTCAACCACCAACATAGAAATTAACCAATTTACAGGAACGTCCATTTCCCTCACTTTCCTAACGAAGGTTTTCGTCGACGAATCCGATAATCTCGTGTCCTTAGAGACACCCCATCATAGTTTTCCTCTGCAGCATCATCGTGACGGAAAGTCATTCTCTCGCCAGATCTCATTAGCGAATTACATAGCGTGTTTACGCTCGGTGAATATTCTACGTTTTAACAAAGAATTAGTTTAGTAATACTTGTACCGTAGACAACCTAGTTGAGTATAAGTTAGACTTTGGAAGAAAGCGCATTTTGTTATCTCGTTAACCGCGAATTCGTTATTGAACCTGGGATCATAGTCATTAGCATCTCGAGTATCTAATTACCACGGTTAACTGTCAAATTCGGTAATAATCATATTTGTACTAGTAAATATCTTCTCTATTGCATAACAACAATGTGTAATCCAAATGAAGATTCGTTACACGCCCCTAACCCTAATCATAATGTGAACCCGACAGATATATAAAAAACGCCCGTAAACGTAGTGTTAATATCTGTTCCGTGGTTTGGAATTTATGTTGCTCAAAAGTTTAATTAGACTACCTAATTAGCAAAAGAATTATGATTTCTATTCTTAACAAAGGTATCTGTTTTCCAGATTCACAGAAGATTGAATCAGGGCGATGGTTTAGATCCTGACGGTTTATTACTGCCAAGGAAAGCTTCTTGTTGTTTCTGCGAATCACGATGGCGGCAATGCCTAGCATGTTATTTCGGTTAGTTTTCACTCTTGATATTACGTCAGGTATTTATTTGTAATTTTAATACGCAGAATACAATTTCCTTTCCTTCCCCGAATTGATGTTTCATAGTGGTGTTCGTGAATTATTTCTCACTTTCGTACCACCGCTTAAACTTGCATTTCTATTCCATCCTACATTACGATAAATTTAACATTTCGATTCTGATATTCATCGCACTGATGCTTTATTATAACATAAATCGAGTGCAGACTTTTATATATTTATGAGAAATCTGAAAGCAAAAAAATGTACATTATTACACATTAATACACCAATACTTATCGCAAGTCTCTAATAAATTTCACTTCATGTAGTATTTTACTTAATGCACATATAATGCGAATGGACAGATTAATAACAGAATAACAGATTAATAATAAAATAGCTAAGAAATAAAACTAGTGGAAGCATTTCATCTAACATCTAACATATGTATTAATTATAAATATATTAACAGTATATATCAAAGATATAAATTTGCGTAAATATTCGCATTATAAAACAACCGCACTACAATTACCATATGCTACAATTACCATATGCTATGTATAGCATTAACTGTTTCTCATTGCAGCAACGCTAACCATGTTCGTAGTCGGTACAATCAACGGATGGACAACGATTTGTTTTCATTATTTAATAGCCGTGACCGGCAGCGTGCCGCTAATGTTAACACACGACGAATATTCATGGATCGTTTCTTTCACAATAGTTGGTTCAATAATCGGTGCACTTATGGCTGCCCAGTTGGTCGATCGCAGCGGTCGTAAACAATGCCTCCTTGTATGCAGCATAACGTTCACCGTAGGCTGGTTCATCATCTACGAAGCAACTTCCGTGCCAATGCTATACTTTGCTCGGTTGATTCTCGGTATAGGCGTAGGTATTGCCCACACGATAAATCCCATGTACGTGTCAGAAGTCGCCAACAGGAACCTCAGAGGCGCCCTAGGTACTCTAACTGCAATCAACGCATTAAAGGGGTCACTGCTAACCTGTACCCTAGGACTTTTTCTGACGTACAAGTCACTCCTCACGGTTCTTGTAATAATATCTTTTATATCTCTCTTCTCGAACACGTGTTTCCCCGAAACTCCGTATTTCTTGTTGGCAAAAGGTCGAAAGCAGCAAGCACGTAAGTCGATATCATATTACAAAGGCATCACAGATCCTCACAGAGTGGAATTCGAACTACATCCTCAATGCGCACAAACCAGACACGAATTACTCCAACAATCCACAAGCGATTTACCCTCACAATCCAGAAGCGATTTACCCTCACAATCAAGAAGCAATTTACGCTCACAATCCACATGCGAAGCACACTCGGACCCCATACGGGAAGTAGACATAGAAGCCACGTCCGATTTACACTTATCATCCAGTAGCGACTCACATGCACAATCCATATCCTCGGTATACTCAAAATTCATATGCGAAGTACACACACAACCCACGGGCGAATCACGCGTAGAATACTCGCGCGACTGGTCCAGATTACCATCCCAAACCCCGCCCAAATCACATTCACAATCCACAAGCGACTTACACCGACCAACCACAAGCCAAGTACACAGGCCCTCGACAAGCGAAATACACCTAGAAGCAACAAGCGAAATACATCCAGAAACCACAAGCGAAATACACCCAGAAACCACAAGCGAAATGCACCCAGAAACCACAAGCGAAATACACCCAGAAACCACAAACGAAATACACCCAGAAACCACAAACGAAATAAACCGACCATCCACAAGCGAAATACTCCGACCATCCGCAAGCGAAATACTCCGACCATCCACAAGCGAAATACTCCTACCATTCACAGGCGAAGTACACCGACTATCCACAGGTGAGGTACACCGACCATCCACAAGCGAAGTTCACCGACCATCCACAAGCGAAGTACACCGACCATCCACAAGCGAAATACGCTTAGACGATTCATACGAAATGCTCCCAGACCGCACATGCGAAATACTATCACGATCCAATGAGTATTTACGCCAATGGGCTGACATAGATGAGATACGCGTAGATTTCACTAAATATAACTGGTCAACCAAGTTGCGAGCAATAATACTACAACGAAGCAACAGGAAAGCTCTGTTTATCATGCTTGGCTTGACCATGGCACAACACCTTAGCGGAAACTACATCACTACGCAGTATCTGAAAGTGTTGCTCAGCAAAACAGCGATCGCTCTCAATCCATACAAAACGACGCTTACGATCCACATTATCAGCATTATATCTGGCGGATTCACCATCGCAACAGTGGAATATCTTGGAAGAAGAACACTTTTGATTATGTCTACGCTTGGAACGTGTTGTCCATTGATTATTTTAGCAAATTATCTTCTCCTAGTTGAACATAAGTTTGACATTTCCATCACCTCTATTCCCATATTCAACTTAGTTACACAGCAAATACTGTTTCAAATTGGTTTAGGTACGTTACCCAATATTCTCCGATGCGAATTATTTCCTGCGGAACTAAGAGGCTTTGTTGGTGCCATCATTGTGATTTTCGATGGTATAATTGGTTTTACGGTGTCGAAACTGTATCAAGTGATTACCAATAATATAGGATCGTATGCGAATTACATGATCTTCGGGGCATCATGCTTAATGGCATTTATGATGGTGATCATATGGATACCGGAAACGAAAGGAAAAACATATCGCGAGATTGAAGCGCTTCTATTTGGTGAAAATTTTCATTCTTTGAATGAAGAAGATAGCAACGATGAAATGGATACTCGTAGAATATGACAGGAAAAATTGCACTGTACATTCATGGCACGGCGTCTACTTACTCGGAATATTTTATTTCTCATTTTTATTAGTATAGCGACAAAGATTTTCAATTTTATCACGATATGCAATTTCTGTAGTAACGGAGTTTTATACATTTCTAAGTGTAATTTTAGAAATGTGTCTAACAAAGCCAATGGTCATTTACAAACATATGCATCGTATAAATTGACTTGCATTGAACTTAGAGGAACACATGTTCTCAAACTAAACTTTTTATCCATTTCATAACACGAAAAATATCAATTAACTCGAGATAATTGAACAACAGTTTGCATAAGGAAGAAAAGTAATATATTAAAGAATGACAAGGTGACATAATACTGACAAGTACAATTTTCTATATCTCAGCTGTTATCAATGCTGTTATTTTTTGTTTGCAATATATAACATATGTATATCACATATACATATGCTAATATTGTCACAAGAAACAGCAGGTATGCTGAAAAAGTCAGTATTTATGGCGAAATTAATATATTATGGTGAAATTAATATAATATAATTAACATAACACATTGATAATAAGTACTCATATTACATTGTGGTTGTCGCTGATAAGCATATCTATATACATATGCAATCATATATGTGTAAGACATGGTCTCATCGGCGTTATAATAGAGTCATTACTGAAAAATATTTGAATATGTCAGTTCCAATATTACAGTAATTACTGTATTATGACATAGTGACAAATACCTAGCCTTGTCCAATAGGAATTCTATCGAACTGTTGAATATTATCTTCAGTAAATAATGGCTATAATAATAGTGCTCATTTCAGAAATTTATAATATTTCCTACTTTTAATATACGGTAATTGACGCGAAAAATTAAATATCTACAATTTTATAAATTTTTGTCTATCAACAATTATGTATTTATTGTATATCTTTTAAACAAATATCTTCCTTATTAAAAAGCTACAAGAAACATGGAAACATTACTATCTATATATAAAATCACAAACAAGATATTGAATGTTCTATTTTATTTGAGTTATATTATAGACGAATTTATTACAGACACCCCTAGTGGAAATTAATTACAGGAGTCCGAATGAAGACGATTCAACTGTAATACCAAATACCGCTAAGGTCCAGAACCTACGTCATGCTAGATCGGTTAAGTCGGGAACGATATTAACATGGTAAGAAAACCACCGAGTTCACTGGGTAAATTACTCGGAATACCAACTTTCTCTTCTACGGTAACATCACCCCCTCTTTTTCCACAAAAAATTTCTGATTTTGCATAAAAGAATTCGGACAAATCCTTTTTTGCCATTCATTTGAAAAATATTAGTTCTTTGATCGTTATAGAAAAGAAACAACAAAAACATCTTTAAGAACGATCGAAGCGGAAATTTAAAACTGAAAGTAAAGATCGAGTTAAGCCTAAAACTAAATTACAGTTATATTATAATTCTCTGTGAGATGGTAATTGGAAATGGAAACGTCGAAATAGAGCGAAAGTAAAGAGAACAAGAATTGCCGCGATAAAGGAAGCTATGCTCCAAGAAATTCAAGATAATTCAAATGCTAGATTATTATCGCAACGTAGACGATGTAGCAACATGGAACAAAAATAATTAATAGTCGGAGCAGTACAATTATTTTTGCTCATTTCAATTTTTATATTATAGGAAATATGTATCATATAATAGTTGGCATTCGACTGTTCTAACACTATAATTAGGATATTTCCTAGATATAATAAGTACAAAAATATTATTGTTCCTATGTCGGAATATTTAAAATTAATTCGTTACATTTCAACATATAACAAGGAGAATTAGAAGTGTTTATGTGTTGAAATAATGTCGACTGTATGTAAAGGGGAAGTAGCCCCAGAAGTACCCAGTATGGTTGTGACACTCGTGCAAATCGAACAAATCGATACGAAGTCCGTAAATCACGAGATTCAGTGTAATGATATTTCACAGTTGTTCTTTTTCTTGCGATAGATAACTACCCATGATCATTCGTGCATTTTTAAATAATTATGAGTGAACTGGATTCTACAAATTGAATTATTGAAAATCTATCGTGATTATATAATTGCGTAAAAGTACTTATTTTTGGCAACATGTCTCAGCGTAGGACGGTAAGCATTTCATATGATTATACAATATATATTTTTGAAATAAACAGTTAGAAATTAAATATCGCAGAGTAACAAATTCTAATTGAATGAGAATATAAAAAAAGCGTCCGTTTGAGATACCCATTTTCAGCGAATTTAACTATTATTCTTTTATTTCCAAATAGAGATACGAATCCATAGCAATTAAAGTTTTGATTCCTATGATTCGATTAAAAGTTTTGGTACATAATCAAATGTATTAACATATCTTGTCGATAATACCAAAGAACCGTCCGAACCTTCGAGTATGATTCGATATTTAAAAGTCACAATAATCTTAAATCTTTGACCTTGTGTATGGATCGATCGTAATCATTTAAAATTTTGAATCTTCCACCCTGATTTAAACTGTCACGACCCACCAAAACATAAAATTCAAAGCTTAAAACTGTTACCTCTCATAAATATCGAATCATATTTGAAGGTTCAAACGATTCTTCGGTATTATCTATACGACATGTTAATATAATTCATTAATTTCAAAAAATATTTAAGAAATAGATAGAAACCTTTCAAATGATTATTAATTTGGAGGACAATCAAAGGAAATGATTTTAGAAGAAAGATGTCGAAAGCATAAATAACCTTTAGCAAATTTCAGTGGAAAACTCAAGTTCGTCTTCTATCTATAATAACATCAAATAACATCAAGCATATTTTAATGCTGTTGATAGAATACCATAAATTGTATTTCTATTAAGATAGGAGAAAGAATAAATGTTGAAATAAGGTTAATATTTAAATACTTCTTGATATCTTTTCCGTGGTTTGGTATTCGCTCATAAGTTTGATTACACTATCTAATTAGAATGGAATTATGATTTCTATTCATAACAAAGGTATCTGTTTTCCAGGCTCCCAGCAGATTGTCTGAGGGCAGTGGTTTGGGACGTGTCGTTTTGTCACTGCAAGAAACAGCTTGTAGACTGTGCAACCTAATTCGAAGGTTCAAACGGTTCTTCGGTATTATCTATACGGCATGTTAATATATTTCATTAATTTCAAAAAATATTTAAGAAATATATAAAAAACTTTCAAATGATTATTGATTTGGAGGACAATCAAAGGAAATGATTTTAGAAGAAAGATATCAAAAACATAAATATCCTTTAGCAAACGTTAGTGAAAAGCTCAAGTACGTCTTCTATCTATAATAACATCAAATAACATCAAGCATATTTTAATGCTGTTGATAGAGATACCATAAATTGACTTTCTATTAAGATAGGAAAAAGAAACTTTTTAATTCTTTTGAAAAGATATTAATATTAAAATGCTTATTAATATCTTTTCCGTGATTTGGAATTTATATTCGCTCAAAAGTTTGACTAGACTATCGAATTAAAATAGAATTATGATTTCTATTCATAACAAAGGTATCTGTTTTCCAGGCTCGTAGCAGTTTGCCTGAGGGCAGTGGTTTGGGTCCTGTCATTTTATCACTGCAAGAAACAGCTAGTAGGATGTGCAACCTAAAATTCCGGCGGCAATTCCTAGCATGTAGTATCGGTTAGTTTTCACTCTTGATAATACGTCAAGTACTTATCTGTAATTGTAATACGCAGAATGCAATTTCCTCCCCCCCCCCCCCCCCCCCCCCCGGCGGAATTGATGATTCGTAGTGATGTTCCTAAATTATTTCTCACTTCTAATTACTTGCATACCATTGTTTAAGATTGCATTTCTATTCCATCCTACATTACGATAAACTTAACATTTCAATTCGGATATTCATCGCACTGATGCTTTGTTATATCATAAACCAAGTGCGGACTTTTATATATTTATGAGAAATCTGAAAGCAAAAAAAATGTTCATTATTACACATTAATATACCTAGACCTAACGCAAGTCTCTAACAAATTTTACTTTACGTAGTATTTTACTTAATGCACATATAATGCGAATTGATGAACAGATTAATAATAAAATAGCT